GAAAAATCAGCTCACGGGTCCTGAATAGGTAGGTCTAGAATTCTTTTCTTTTTTCCCTTTTTTTGTTGCCCAAGGGAGGGGTCAGGATCCATGACCCCTCCCCCCAGATCCGCCAATGTGAATTGCGAGAAAATGTAACTCGGTCGGGTACTGGATAAACATTCTCTTTCCCATCCTTCTCCTCCTTCTTCCCTCCTTCTTTTTTTGCATTTCCGATCATACAAAAATTTCCAGACATTATATATTTTTCGCCTCTCTCCCCCCCCCCCCGCTTCCACCGGCCATGGGAGGGGGTGGGGGGAGGGGCTCCGGCTGGGAATATGAATGTTTCCAGACTAAGGCATTCATGTGCGACCATGACGTTGGCATTAGGCCTGTGTCTTATACACACAAAAGGCCTATGAGCATACACATACTAGTGCATTAACGTTTAATCGAATGAAATCTGTGATCGATGGAGCGCCAAAGACACCGTGTGGAGTGTTCTTAATATCCAGTTAATCCTTTTTCGTCTATTGATTGCATCTAGGTGTGGTGGCAGGAGTCAGGATCGGTTAGAACCGCAAGACACTTCGGCAATGAGATAACGTACGTGAATTTACGGCAGGTTCTCTGGGGAGGCCGTAAGTTACATAGATTAATGTCATTATAAAAGTTATATTTTACTTATTTTACCGTCTACTCAAAATCGGTGGCCTACATTTTCATTAAAAAATGTTTTGGGGTTGCGTACGCACACTCTTCCACAGTCGCGTACTACGGCGGCCTGGGACCAGGATCGAGACGATGCCTTTTTTTGTCGTTTGTAGCAAAGTTGAGATCGCTCAGGTTGGAGGAAATGATGATAAGGCTTAAAAAACAAATTGTTTGTTTGCCCTTCTTATTTAAAATGATAAAAAGAGGCGGGTGGAAAAAGTTTTTTTTTTATTATTTTTTTTTATTTTTTTTATTAATACTCATTACGGTATATGGAATGAAAATAACCCACAGCAGAGGCCTTGAATGGCAATATCTTACATCTTTAGACTAATTTGTAGGGCATCTGGCAAAAAATGAAGATAAATTCACTCACATTTTTTTTTTAATTTGTAAAGATAATAGCTAAAAAAAAACTTTTTAAAGGTTGTTTTTGTTTTTCCCGCACCGATTTTTCCAGTGAGTTAGGGGCAGGTGGAGGAAGGCAAACAAACATTTTTTGGCCTATTTACGATGATGATTGTGATGGTGATGATGATGAGACGAACTTACACACACTTATCAAGGCCCAGATCTGTTTTGAAAAGTGGGTCCGTGAGAAAACAGCACCTCAGCTCCACCATGGTTGGGGCTGAGGTGCAAAAATTTGAGGAAATAGTACTCTAGATGAACGGAAATGACACTCTTAGGCCTATATAGTACAATGCATCATCACCTCAGCAAAAATTGGAGAAAATAGTACCTCAGATGGCCGGAAATGGCACTCTTGTATAGTAACATTCATATCACATCACCATTATGAAGCACCAACAAATTTCTCACGATCTTTTATTAGCGATCTTCGGCAATCATAGAGATCTAAATAATCTGTGTGATGTACCATTGACAATTTTAAAACATTGTCTTTGATATCTTTACTTTACCTACTTAAAGCCGGGCGTCCACACCCATCTCAAACCCACCACGGTTGGGGCTGCAGCAGGCGCGAAAATTTGGGTAAATACCCATAGCTGGCCGGAAATGATAGGCCTACTCTTACAGTAAAATTCATCACCATTATAGTCAAAATAAAGTGCCAACAAATTTCCCATGATCTTTTATTAGGGATTTTCGGCAATCATAGAGATTTAATTAATCACTGTGATGCACCATATAGAAAATAAAAGTTAATTGTCTTTGATGTTTACTTTACTTTACCTACTTCATGTGCCGAAAACCAATCTTATTTTTACACGCTTTTTTCTCATACTTCTCAAAATTATAATAAAGGCACGCGCACTCAAGTCGTGTATAGGACATTTTGTATATTTGTGGGTAGAGATACCGGTATCTTGCTTTAAGAAAATGTATTCGGACTGTACAGGGCTTTTTCGTTAAAACCGGGTCACATATGCAGTTCATTTCAACAATTTTCAGGCTTCAGTTTGACTTATGAAAACACATTGCCGCCGGAATGGGGGAGAAGGGGAACCAACCCCCCTGGCATTAAAAATATGTGGGGGATGTGTTCCCCCACCCCATGATGACGCCCTAACACTTACTCATTATGACTGAATCCCATTATCAGGATACAGATTAAATCAACTTATGCTGCATTTAAGAATGCTAATCAATGCTTCTACATTACGAATAATTAGAGGCTGAAATCCAGACCGGAATGAGTTAATTAACGGTTAATTATGGTTTGTGCATGTGTAATGGCCTGTCATAATTATTGGTTAAGTTGGTCAAACTATTCATCGTCAGAATTCGCAAGTCAGAAGTTACCGGGTGGAGACGCCGTGATGCGATTCACATTCCAACTTCCACAAAGGTAAATTTCATGAATTTGCATTAAATTTATCTATTCAATATCTTGGCCAATGGGAATTATAGGAGGCAGGCCTATCAGTTACAAGCCACCATTACCCTTTAATTTGGGATTCTTATGTTTCATATTACAGTATGTTTATTGATTTTTCATATCAAAGGTGTGCAAAAATTACAATTATCATGCTTCCCCATTAATAATATAACATGGCTGCCGTGTAATGTAACAACATAGCGAATAATATAAATAGATGACGGCCATTCGGGACTTTGGTTTGGATCTTTGTGACATCACTTTTTTTTCAACAAAAATATACAACTATGACACAACCAGCCTTCCATTAATGCTTTGATAGTACTCGATACAATAAGCCTTAGTTCAAACGGAGTCATTAGACGCGCTGACGCAAATCCAAGTAACGCAACGCTTCGGAAATTGTTATTAAACAGATCTTTATTGAAACATATCATAATACGCATGGCGTTTTTTTAATAATGTCTATAACACATTGTATAAACACAACTCCCTGGTATAAATAATATTTTTTTAAATATTAATTTCGTTTGCAGTCAGCTGCCAACATCTTTTGAGTCTAAATTCGGCTTCATCAGATATTACATAGAGGCTACCGTAGATCCCGGACGTCACTGGTTGAATAAGATATGTAGGAAAGTGTTCACTGTTATAGATGACATCGATGTTAACGCACCTTGCTACTTAGTAAGTACTCCATCGAAGTATGTCTGCAGGACTATGGTGGTACTAAGGGAAGCAGACGAGTTTAAGTCCTGTGATAGTAAAACTTTGTGTTTGTAAATCGAATCTTCCTCTTTTATACCCCGAATTCATTTCATTTGAAGCCATATAGAAAATCAGGACTGGTGAGCGCCTCCCTCTCTTCCCAGTCTGAACGATAATACATCCCCACCCTAAAAATCAGACGCTTGATGTGTGGCTATTCCCATCCAAATCGTAAAGCCTCATTTAAACTAGACACGATACAGATGCGCGCAGTGTTGAATACAAACTACGCGATGATATGTCATTGTCGTGTCGTAATCGTGCCTAGTGTAAATGGCGCTTTACATGCCATTATCATTATTATCGCTCTCTGTTGTTACAGAGCCCTTCGATGACAACTAAGGGACTCCAGATCGGTTGCTGTTGGGTATGTAAAAGTGAATTTACGGCATCGTTCGAGATCAACCGCAGAGCATATTGTCCAGGTAATATCAGTGGCAGATTAAAGCTTCATTTACAATAGACACGATAACGACACGACACGATAAAAATGCGCTTAGTGTTGAATAATATGAACGACGCGATGATGTCGTTGTCGTGTCGTTATAGCGTCTAGTGTAAATGCACCTTAAGGGGTGATGAAAACGGGGCTCGCCACCTGCAGCAACAAAAAGGATATTCAATTTATAGCCCTTTCCTAAAATAAATAAGGCCGGCCTCTCATCAATGTGTGTTGAGAGTTTTGCTTCAAGAAACTCTTCCCTCAAGTTACGTTTTCGACAATTCGTCTCCATGTCCTGGTCTAGTTTTGCTAGTGGAGGTTTCCCTCATTCCTATAAGCAAATTCCGTTCTTGAGTTACTGAAACAATTATTGACCATTTCATATTCGTATTCTTTAGCCATTTTCGTCTTCATATTTACAACGTTCTTTGATTTTCTAAAACGTTTTATATTTCAATGCAGGAGAATTCGTTAGGTTCTCTGCAGAAATCAACAATCGTTCCCCTGACCTAATGGAGATCGTTGTCAGACTTTACCAGCAAACGACACTCTCAGATACCGGCAACCAGACTAACGGCACTAGGACCGAACACAAACTTGGTCCAAAAACTGTTTGGAAACATAAGTTGAATAGCGTGTTAGCGTTCACTACAGAACATTGGGACGATATACGGGTACGAATGCCTATGGTACCCCCGACAATGTCAGCCTGCCCCTTAATAAGAGTGGAGTACTTTATCGAGGTAGGTCTACAGGTTGTGCTTATGAAACCATTACAACAGTACCGGTAATGTCTCTGCAAGATCGTGGTAAAAATAATATAAACATTTTCAAATTTCTTCTCAAAGCTTGTTGTTAAAGATGAATGTAGTTCGGCGACTCTTCCTTTACCCGTTGTCATAGGAACTATACCGCGTAGCTGTTACTTGAGTAGTCTACAGACACCTAGTAGTAGTACTACTACTACTACTACTAGACCTAGTCTGCGAGGCCGTCGTCCAGTTCGGACCCGAGGAGTATCGGAAGCTACGCGATTGTTCGATCCTGGTGCCGATTCGCCACCTCCATATGAAGGTAAACAAATTAGAATACTATGGTTATTCTACGATGATTTCAATCGATAATTACGGTAAATATGCAATTCAGTTATCAGTATTACAAATAAAATACATTGTCTGATTCCATTCCACAGCTCCACCGCCGAGTTACGAGCAATGTGTGTTTGGTCTTAACGTTTCTGACAACGAAATGGACGAATCGATTATGAACGAAGACGATGCAACTTACATACCGATGTACACTTATTCAGAACATTCAAACTTATACGTAGAACTACCGGATACATGAAAACCAATCGTTGTTCTTATTATTTTTATTATTGGCCTAAACAAATTCCAAACAGACACAGAAGTACTTTCTTCTTATGATGATAGAGGAGGAAATCCGGATAACAATTTTCCATCAAAAGCATCGTATATCGGACACAATGTGAATTTTATGCAAGCTAGCTGCCCTTTCCAGATTGCGTGGAAAAAATTTACTGTGTGACCGTCATCATAATGGCGCGCAATTAATTGATTTTCTACGGTTCCCGAACGAGAGTTTGAACCAAGTAGACAGTGGCTTATTGTACGTCTTAATTTACTCATTAATCTCTTTTTTTTTTCAAATGTCTTATGTTTTAGTTGTTCCACGCCAGCAGATCAGATTGTAGATAACAATTATATAGGTCTATATGCATACATATGTACAAGAAAACTGTACCATTAAAATCTCTTTTACATATTATAACAAAGCATGTAGTCAACGTATTATCAGACAGCAGAAATTATAAAACGCAGTGAAATATACCCATGCTTTTCGTGCAACGCATGAGAACACATTCAAACGCAAATTGCGTCAACCGTATGGTATAAGTGATAATACGTCAAGTTTATTAGTTTTATTGCACTGGAGTACTATCGAGTCGTAAAATATACTCCAATATGCTTTTTTATACAGAATCTGTCTCTGGTTTTCTCAAATGTAAATATATAGGAATAAATATAATTATAAAGAATTTGAATTATCATTACGAGTTCCTCATATTATAGGCTTATCTGAAGTTAATGTTAGTTTAATTAAAAATGTGTTTTCGATTTTAAACTAGTGACTCTTATTTATCTGTCACAAATGTTTAAAGAATACAAACACAGGAAATAAACAATTACAACATTATGTAGTAGTATCTATTTCTTTATTAATTAATTAGTGATCGATCCAACAAAGGCGATCAGTTAACCCTTGACCGTCAAGCTCTTTAATAAAGTCTACGAAGTTTGGGAAGTTGGTTTCAGGACTGTGGGATAAGGAGGAGGCAAGGTTCTCAACCACCAATCCACAACCCCACTCAAAATACATTAGAATTATTATTTAATAACCAATATGAATCACTATTGTGTATTTCATATTATATAAATATATTAAAATATATTTAATATTATTAATATGAACATCTTTAATATAAATTGGTGTGTACTGTAGTCACGCGAATAAGCGCCCGGGCGCTTAATATATTTTTAGCACTTTTTTATGGGTGCTTATTCAAACGGGGAGCTTATGTAAACAGGGTGGAAATGGGAGGGGCGTTTATGGAAATTGATGAAAATTGAGGGGTGCTTATGGCGCTTTTTAAATGAAAAAAAGATTATATAATTATAAGGACATCTTGAAACCAAAGATAAATGAATGGTTCGGGTGTAGAAAAGATAATTGTTCAGAGTGCATGGCTCATGGCCCACCGTCCCAGGATTGATTGGATTATTGAATTGCTAAAAAAAAACAAAACATGATATTGTTTTAATAATGAATAAAAACATTCAAAATGTTTACATGAGAGAGTGTTGAAGTCAGTTTATTTTTGTTGACTGAAAAAAAAAAAACTCTGTATATACCATACAGTATTTTAACTTGTAGATTTTAAACAGGCATGCTGGACTTTGAGAGGGCGCTTATTCAAACCGGGCGCTTAAGAAAATGTTCGTCTTAGGAGGGCCCTAATTCAAACGAGGCGCTTATTCACACGAGTACGGTACATACTATTGATACACATATTTATTAATAGTTGCTATTATCAATACAATATATTTATATAATATAAGTATTACTGTATATTACAATATTTATCAATTGAATCTTACTATATTATAATATATTATATATATATATATATAGTTATATAGTTTTAAATATATTATATATATAATATATATATATAATTTATATGTAATCAATAATAGATGTGTATAAGAGACAGGTCTTAACGTTTCTGACAACGAAATGGACGAATCGATTATGAACGAAGACGATGCAACTTACATACCGATGTACACTTATTCAGAACATTCAAACTTATACGTAGAACTACCGGATACATGAAAACCAATCGTTGTTCTTATTATTTTTATTATTACTTATTAAGACGTCTTTCCGAGATAATTTATCTCGGAAAGACGTCTTTCCGAGATAACGTATTTTGGAAAGACGGAATTCCAAGATAACGTATCTTGGAAAGACGGAATTCCAAGATAAATTATCTTGGAAAGACGGAATTCCAAGATACGTTATCTTGGAAAGACGTCTTTCCAAGATACATTTTGAGGATATTTGTGTTTCGTACAGGTCAATCCATTCATAGAAAAGGCCTTTATTGGAGAAAGCGTACCTGTCGTTAGCCATAGTAGCCTAGGTCAATACTAACCCCGGCTATATAAAATTGATTATAAAATTAAAAAATATTAATCTTATTATAGTAGTAGTGATACTATGTACACGTTTTAATTATTGTTATTTATTCGTTAACGTCATTATATTTACATTTAAATTTCCAATGTTAAAATAATCTTATTTATCAAAATTGTATATTTAAATAATATAGTAATAGCCAAGCCGAGGTATAGCCTAGTCTAGGCCTAAACAGTTTACTATATGTGAGTGTATAAAATCATGAAAAATATGATTAAAACGCAAAATTGTGAAAGAATAAAGGAAGAAGGAAGAATAGGAAAGAGTTGGAGCGGCTGAAATATTTTCCGAAAATATACAATAGTAGTCAATATGATATTATTGCATTACGTTTTTGTAAACAAATTAGGGCACAAAAAAAAACGAAATTAATTTTTATACATTAAAAATTAACGTAGGCCTATTTTTCATGCGTTTTAATAAGCAGATGTTGATGCGTACATACAGAACAATGCGTGAAAATACAGAACAACACACAATGAAATACAACAATATTCACTCACAACTTTGAACTTGAACAAATTGAATATAGGCCTATCCATTGGTAAGTTACAGGTAGCTCAACTTTCCTTATAATTACTACAGATTTCAGGCTATCTTTGAATTTTGAATTTCGTCTCCTCGATGTTATCTTGGAATTCCGTCTCCTCGATGTTATCTTGGAATTCCGTCTTTCCAAGATAACATATTTTGGAAAGACGTCTTTCCAAGATAATTTATCTTGGACTTCCGTCTTTCCAAGATACGTTATCTTGGAATTCCGTCTTTCCAAGATAAATTATACTGGAAAGACGGAATTTCAAGATAAATTATCTTGGAATTCCGTCTTTCCCAGATAAATTATCTTGGAATTCCGTCTTTCCAAGATAAATTATCTCGGAAATCCATCTTTCCGAGATAAATTATCTCGGAAAGACGTCTTAATAAGTATTTATTCCATGTTTCCATGATAATTATCTTGGAAACTCGAAACGCGGAAGGTCACTTTAAGCTTCCGTACAATTCAGAAAAAAAGTAAAATAATGACTGGATTCCTGATTAAATAGAATGCATTAATATCCCAGTAAAATATTTTTAATGGCATTATCACTATTGTACAGAATAACAATATCGAAGTACATTAAACATTATTTCCTATAGTAAATCAATTGTTAGTATTTGTGTTGTGTCAAATCCCAAAACTAGGTTCTGTTCAGTGGAAAATTCATGACACCAAATAGAACTTGGAATACTTCATATAATCTGTTAATTCAAGATAGAAAACAGAGGAGAAATAAATAGTAAAAATAGACTAGATCTATGAAAATACGGTAAAGGCTTTTAGCTGAGCAACCCTGAAGAAAATAATATCTGATCTTTGGCAAGGCAGTGAACGTACTACCAGAATAATAATATATTATACCACTGAAATTACATTCAAATCTTCAATAAAAACTTTTTTTTAATGCCCAGAAATAGGCTGTTCTTCTACTGCGCCATGAGCATTATTATGGGATATTTACTGTTCATTATATATTTATTCACTCACTCGCTCATTCGCCAACTTACTTGCTCACTCTTGCATTAATTCATGTATATATTTATTAGGAATTCACTACTATTGCTGTAAAAAAAAACTCCATAAAATATAAGGTGCGAGTTAAAACAGGTTTCTGCAGAGAGGACACGATGACTGGTTGCTAGTGTTAAACCACTTGTACTAGAAGAAAAAACACAGAAAAAAATGAACATAAATATTAATTTTTCTCTATCAATGTTAGCAAATATTCACACCATACATAACACCTATACTATAAAAATATGTGATCATTTTAATGAAAAAATGTTAATGATGATTCATATATTACTAATATCATAATTATAATGATCAATGTGGCATATTAAAGTGGTTAAGCTAAAATATAACTTGGAGTTGTACATTCAAATATAAACATTACTATTATTACTATTATTATTACTGTATAAATAATAGAACTTGATAATTGTGCATTTAGTGTAGCATTTTGTAAAATTTTCCCTTGGTTCTGCTTTAAATAGATTTAATGTATTAAGAGACAGCACCTAAAATAACTCTGTGATGATATCATAATATTGTTGGCAAGCAGAAACTTACTAGACACGCTGAATGAAATTTCTTTTTACAAGTCTTGCATGTTAGCTGAGGCAGTGAGTAATTTGATCCGTGTATAACCGAGTAACAGATCATACAGTCGTCGGTCCCTTCAAAACGCTTATCAATATTGCTCTTCCAAACCTTCAAACCATCGACAATCGTACCATTCTATGAATGCAAAAATTTTGTTTATCACAATAGAATACACAAATCAGCGGTGATGTTGGTAGAAAATTAGTGAGAGGCATATCTGGAAAAAAACCAATTATTGCCATTGTTCCTTTAAAGTGAACATCCATCCAATATAATAGAACAATGTGTCCCAAGGCAACGCATACTCACACTAATGCGCATGTGTAAGACAGTAACAAACACATTCAAGGTGTGTTCATAAAAAGGAACAAATGTTAATTATTCAGTGTATCCAGGTAAATACTTAGAAAATTGAACAGAACATTTCTTGGAAGTGAATAATTAGAATAACTGAATTTCATGATCATTGTGTTTTCTTGAATAGGGGGTATGACTAGCTTTTATGATATTGAAATTGTGAAATATAAGTGTCGGATATCAAGTATTACAGCTCTTCCTGGAATATGAAAACCCTTCGACATTCTGTTTATAAGATTTTATAATAATTAATAATAGATTGTGGGCGTCTGATATTCTTGGATTCATAAATAAATGAGAAAGTATAATACATACTCCAAGTATTGAAATACACGCCATCGTGTTGGGATTCAATATTTCGACATTAATTATGTCATTATCAGGAATGATGATATAAATAAAATAAATGAATTATTTATTTGATAAATAAATAAATGAATTATTTATTTGATGAGTCATGAAATTAAGTCTAAGAGCAAAAATCTAATTTGGATAATAACAACAGGAGGTAGAACAAATATTGAGAGTATATCATATTTATCATATTTACCAAGGACCAATACATTAAAGATATACTATCTGTGGATTGAAAACCCCTAAAAAAGTCAATGAAAATATTAAATAGGCCATTTAATATAATTTAATAATTTATTACCTTCCTATGATATACAGATCAACATAATTAAGTTTTTTGCAAGATAAATATAATTATTACTAAATCATACAAACATTAATGAAGAACACCGCCTTCACAGGCCAAGGTCGTACCTGATGTACAAGAAATGTTGTCATCTGTAGCATCCAGTTCCTCCACTGGGCTGTCGACACCCCGACTCGTTTGCCGCTATCCACGACAATCACGCCCAGGGGGTGGTTGATAGCTAGTTTGATGACCAAGTCCATGGACATGTCATCCATCCTGTATGTGGCAATAACCTCTCGTGTCTTGGGCCTAGCTTTGATACTCATGTTATTCATCTTTGTTGTTGTGTTTTGAACACCTTGGATTTCTTTAGCACAAAGAACAGGGCTCGCAAATTTGGTAGTAAATCTGTCCAAAACACAAAATGTGCATTGCTGTAATAATATCGGTACAGAGTATTTTATTAGTATTACGTTTTTCATATATTTACTTAGTGTATACAATAAAAAAAACAGACCTGTGGCAGGGCTGTAGTTGATATTGTTAGCTAATAATAAGTAGAGTTACAGTACATATGTATGTAACAGTATGTGAGGTAGTTATTGTGTAGGCTATTGTAAATATTTAAGTGAACTTGTTAATTTGCAATATTTATTAATAATAATAATAATTAATATTAATTAAAGGATGTAGACTGATGATGATTGATGTATGCAAACTTATTTCCAGAGATGTAATGTGTGATGGTACAATGATGTTTACTGGAATTTGGTGCATATTGGAGCACACACTTTTGTTAGAAAATGGTGGTTGCACACCTATGTGACTGAATTTGGTTGCAGTATAAAGAACATTTTGTACATTCTATTACGTGAATTAACCAACTGGGGAAGCATAATTTAAAATTGGACCACAAGGTCAAAAGTAAGAGGGGCTTTTGTAACATGATCAGGAAATTTTATAAACCGGCCTATACTTTAACACAAGACGATTTTTAAATGTTAAAAAAAAGATTCAGACGACGCTTCAGTGATTTAAAAAACAAAGGTGGCATGACACTGTAGGTAATTAAATGGAACACGTTGCAAAAACAGCCAAAAAATCGGTCAAATATTAACAGAGATATATTACAAACTGCCAAAAATGCCTGTTTTCAGCGATTTCGAGCCGTTTGGCAGAAATCGGCTGGATTTTTGGTACAAAAAGAAATGTTAATAAATTGATATACAATTGCTCGTGTAGTTTTTCATTTTGCATATCTATCGCAACATACCCCCACGGGGCATTCCAATGTGTTACGTTTAAGGTAATATTAATGTAGGTTATCGAAAAATACACGCAAACAATAAAAGGCCCTGAACAATTGACATCGTAACGACGAAGAATGGTGCTGTATTTAGAAAAATACTGAAAATATTAACGAAAATGCACACTAATCGCCAAAACAAATCTGATAGAAAAAAATTCAGGAAATTGACATAGTAATGACGAAGAATGTGTTGTGTTTAGAAAAATACTGAAAATATTTCCGAAAATGCACACTAATTGCCAAAACGAATCTGATAAAAATAATTTCAGGAAATTGACATAGTAATGACGAAAAATGTGTGTCACGACGAAGAATATTTTGTTTATGCTTAGAAAAATATTATTGAAAATATACACTAGTCGCCAAGACGAATCTGATAACAATTTTCAGAAATAAACTTTAACAGGAAACAGGAAATCTACTGTAGAGGAAACGAACATCGTACACGCACATTGTACTAATATTTTCAGTCACTTGATTGTGTGTATGCACCCGAACCGAGTTCAGGCCTACAAAACGATCAAAAACTGTCCTGTATGGAATTCCAGCTACTTATGTCTACATGCTCGGCGAACAAACAGTGAATAGGCTCATCTTTCTCGTCCGTAAAGGTGCACAAACCGAACTGTACAGAAAACGTAATAATCGAACTGTAGGGAAAACTGATAATAACATTTCTGGCTGTTTAGCTGTTTGCCTGTCAGCCAAGAACGAGTATCTGCTGTGGCCCTCCATCAAAGGTGTAGTACCGCAAAGCTGGCTGTTATTTTTTGCAATAACTATCGCGTCCCAGGTACTATCTTCAGTCCACACAACTGGCTCATAACCGGAACCGGAAATCCAGGATGACCTTATTCATGAGAAATTTCTGCATATAACCCCAAAGCAATCGTGTTCAGCAAATATTTTTACCACTGTTTTTATCGCCTACATCGTTATTAATTATCAGAAACACATGAAATTACCAGCGGTTCAACTTCACCCCAGACAGCACCTACATGCAAAATTTCAGCTTCCTACAAGTATTTTTACTACTAGATTTTGTGTTTACAAAGTCAGCGTGACCCCGGCTACCTCACACTTTCCAAGCAGAACGACAACTAGGTTTATATTGTTGTTAACAATATAAACAAAAAAAGGCTACAAATGCAAGGTTATCTGAAGAAGCATTGTAACAATAAACAACATATATCTTGCAGTACAAAATAATAAGACACAAATTAATGTAAAAGGTAGAACTAACAATTAAGGCTTCACAAACATGTTACCTGTCTATATATTCCATTATCCGTTTGTTCTGACTATTCCACCACTGCCTAACCATTGCAGGTAGGTCTTCCAATGTGTTGTAATACACAGTGCACGCCAGGTGTTGTGGTTCCAATGGATTACTCCTACAACCTGCAAAACATGGCAACAGAGGAGGGATTGAACGTGGTTACATGTTATACATTACAACCAATGGGGTCCCAAAATTGAGAGTTGTTCAGTAGTATACATTCCAACCAATACAGCCTCGAAATTGAGAGTGGCTCAGTGGTTTACAATTTACAGTAACCGATGGGGTCCCAAGACTGAAAGTTGTTCAGTGGCATACAATTCAACCAAGGGGGGGTCTCAATATTGAGAGTGGCTCAGTGGTATACATTTCAACCAATGGAGTCTGATGATTGAGAGGCTTAGTGCAATACAGTCCAACCAATGGGGTCTCAAGATTAAGAGTTGCTTAGTGATATACAATTCAACCAATGGGGTCTCAAAATTGAGCGTGGCTCATTGGTACACAATTCAACCAAAGGAGTCTGAAGATTAAGGGTGGCTCAGTGGTATACAATTCAACTAATAGGAACTCAAGAAGATTGAGTTAAAAAGGAATTAAAAGATGATAGCTGTTCCCATACTCACCTTTGATTTCTAGTGCAGGTTCCTCTGTGAACATACTTGGCTGTACTCCTTTATATGGACTCTTAGCCTCTTTACCCGACGTGGTTGGTACAATAGGCATTAACCTGAACAGATTGATAAGCAGACTATCAACAAGTCCGCTTTGTCGGAAGAAATTTGCATATTGCGCCCTCAACTGCAATAAAAATCCAAAGGATAATTATAAATAATACAGTTTACTGGATGACAATGTTGGTAACCGAACAAACAAAACTGAAGCAATGATTTAAATGTAATAGAGCATTCTATAGATCTGTACTGGCATTCTAATCTAAAAGATTATGAAGAAAATGTTACCTCTACTGGTGCTGCTTTGAAAAATATTAATGCTAGCCTCCATGCCAGAAGGTAAGTCATGGTATTTTGATAGACTTCAGTCCCAGACTCTACAGTCATACATTCTCCAACTGGAACATCCTCCAGTATGGTCTCCAAGTAAGTGGTAGTAGAGTGTATTGTTTCTTTTAACATATCAGGAAGAGGTCTGTATAGAGAAAATAGAGCCATTCATCATTATGAACAAAATAATAATGTTATGTTGTTTTGTTTTGTTTGGTGTTTCTAAAAATATTTTAAAAATCCTTACAAGTTAGTTTCTCCAGCTTCATCTGCCTGGGCAACAGCCAGCATTCCTTTGTCATATTCTGGAATAAGAGGCATCAATCTAAAAAAAAGAATAAATTATTTAACATATGTGGCAAAGACAAGCCAAGCCAGTCACTCGTCGCAAATCGTGTTTCAGAGAAAATGGCCAAAACATGCTGGAATGTCAAAGTTTTTAAAATCTATTTTATTTCACTAAACTAACCTTTATATATCTACACATCATTCTATGCTGTTATTTTCCCCATTTTCAATGTTAAAACAACAGTTTTTAAGGATTGAAAGATAGTTTCTGCATGAGAAATGACTGAAATCATAAACTTTAAAGGCTGATTTCTCATATATTGTTCTTTAAACAGCTGTGTGGTTAAACGCCTGTAACTTCATAAGGAAATGTCTGATTTGAATGATTTTTTTTACCATTTTATAGCTATTATTTTACTCTCTAACACTGTATTAATAACTCAAAATTGATTTTTGCGACGAGTGATTGGTTTGGCTTGTCTTTGCCACATATATTATGATTTTATTTCTGTTGTGTGATGATTATTTTAAATTGTATTAAGTTTTAGAAACACAAGAAAATAGTGAATTATTTTAATTTATTGACATGTCCCATATATTTATTTACAGTGAATATAATGTTTAATTATCCAAAAGTCAGATGAAAGAAACTGATTAATAAGGATTGACCTTTAGAAATGGACCCTATGATAATGACAAGTTACAAGTACTTAAAATTAATTACAATATATGTAAATTAATTCCGCCTTACTTTGCTAGTAGCTGATAGGCAGCTAGCTGCACTGGCCTGACAGCTGATCGGAGGGTTCCCATCAGGTGATTAATAATTGTCTGTAAATCATCTGGGATGTTACAGCCAGGCCTAAGCTTAGGCTTCAATTGTACTTGCTTTAGTAGTTCAGTGGGGACTGAGCAGGTTGCTCTGCATAATGACTGAAGCATTATGTGGTCTGACACACTAATTGCCTTCTTTTCCAATGTATCTGAAAAAATCCAAAATATAAAAGCCTAGCAAGTTAAAAAAAAAATTATTTAAAGCTTATAAAAGAGACTTTTTAACAGCTATATTTCAGTTCAAATTGGTTAATATATAACATATATTATATACTGATTTAAGAAAAACATATCTCCCATCATATTATATTAATTTTCCAACAAACGAAAAATTTTATCAAATTATGTCATCAAAAAACAGTAATATAATTAGAAAAGTATATTTATTTATTTATCATGCATTTAAGAGAAAGGAAAACAAAGAAACACGGGTGTATTAATGCAATTTATTTAAAGTACGGTATTGTCACAGCATGCTTATTTAATTTGTAATAATTTTGTTTTACAAGGGGCCGGAGGCCTGGAGTTTGATGAATAAATTCCCTGTATGGGGAGCATGAAATATAAATATATAACATCATATTTCTATAGGCCAAAGAATAGTAATATTAAAATTGATGCAGCAAAAAAAAAAAGATTGCAATGTTGGAAACCATTTTAAAGAAGCTGCCAAAAAGAACATAGACAGGGGCAAGAAAACTAATATATTTTCTTTATTAGACTAATTACTTTCCCTTACTAATATCACACACCGTTTCCAAAAAATAGGAGTTTTTTTTTCTTTCTTAAAGTCAGGCTCCGGAGGAAAAACAATTTTTTGATATGTTGTATAACTGATTTTTCTAAGACAGAAAAAAAATAAGGGGAATAAGGTGTAAAAATGGGCAGTTACGCCCCTTTTTCCCCCAGTTTTTAAATATTAAAAAATCTGTATCTCATTCACCGTTCCCCAGTTTTTCGTCAAACAATTTTTTCTGTCTTAGAAAAATCAGTTCTACAACTTATCAAAAAATTTTTTTCCTCCGGAGCCTGACTTTAAGATCTGACCACACTATCAAATAAATTTTATATGAAAATTCTGTGACATGCTCATATGCAGGCCCATAATTGGGGGGGGGGGAGAGGGGTTTGAAACATAACAGGCATGATCAAGTGACTTGCCAATGAAGATTGTGGATAAACAGAGAGTATATTCTATAGAGAGGGAGACTTTAAATTTGTATATCCTTCCTGCCTGATGCATTATGACTTCAGAAGTGATGTAACTTACCTGTTACTTTAAAATACAGGGGGAGAATAACACTGAAAGTACCAGTGCTAAAGAACTCTTTCCACTCCAATATGAGGTTAGATGAGATGAAAGCATCCTTTGCAGCCTTCTCATCCCCAAGCAAGGATGAAATGATGTGAAGCAAATTGCTGACCTCTGCACTATACACTTGGACCTTCAGCTTCAGACTGTAACTTCTACCTGCTAAGCTCTCACTAACACTCTAAAATATTTGGTAAAGAAATTGTAACGATTGCTAGAATCCCATAAATTTGTAAAATTAGTCATATGTATAAATAGAAAAAACACGATGGCTTGAATTGGATTGATACATAGAATAAATGATGGATGGATGAAAAGATGAATAAATGGGATTGATGGATATAGATTGATAGATGGATGGAGAAAGATGAACAGATGGTTTAATGATAGATGGATGGATGAATGGATAGACAGACAGACAGACAGATGGACTGGATAGATGGTGAATGAAGATGGATGGTTACACAGATGGATGAATAGATGAATGAATGGATGGTTGGATGAATGAACAGATAGAAAGATGACTGGATAGTGAGCTAGATACATGGATGGATAGGTAGATGGATGAATGGATGGATAGAAAGATGTATGGTTAGATGGATGGATGGATGCTAGGTAAATATATCAACATTACCTGAATCCATTCCACCAAGCTGCAGAGTATAAAATCCCAGGCATGTTCTGGTACGGAACTTGGAAGACTCTTGACAAACAGACTGATAAACCTCAGCACTTCAACATTTGTAAATAGCACTTTACTGCTAACATCCTCAACTTTCCTGTTGTAAGATTAGATTTAACCACACATGACTGAGTATTACTACAGTATAAGATACCACAGTGCAAAAGAATCCAATGCAGACAACATATTTCGCAAAGTTCCTTCTCTTTCATAGTAGAGATAAATTTAAGCACCGTATAAAAAATGTATACTAACAAATTACTTTCGCACTAATTAACTTGAACAATAAAATTCAATATTTTAATTGCTAAGTTTAAATATTCAAAGTTATTATTTTGAGTGTGGGTGTAAAAAAATCTCATTAAACATTTGTAAAGATTTACCTGCTAAAGAGAAAAATATCCTCTATTGAATCTTTCCATTGAGATATCTCATCTAGTATTGAGGTCATTAGATGAGATGACATCATAATATTCTCCAAATAAGATAGGCATGTACGGATCACACTAAGAGCTCCTAGGCAACCTAAAGAAAAAGTAAACATTCTCTTACATAATGCAGCAATAATAAGTAATGCAGTAATATACCATGTGTGTAATATACCATGTGTGTCATATGCCATGTGTGCCATATGCCATGTGTGCCATATGCCATGTGTGCCATGCTATGTGAACCATGTCATGTGTCTTGACATGAGTATATGATTTCCACATGGCCATATCATAGATGGACTTACATTATATTCTCAACAGTTAGTGGGTGAGTCTAAAAATAAACTATTATTACACCTTTCTTACATTTTGCAGTAAAATCGTAAGAGCAATTATATTTATAAAATGGCATGGAATTCACTGTCTAACTCTGTTGTAATATAATGCATATTTCACTTCAATAATACTAGGTAAATTTAAATAAAGAAAAATAATACCAATACCATGCATTTCGGTCATGGTTTCCTTCGGACTTGTTAGTAGCTTTGCTGTCTGAATCTCAAGAATGATTGAAACATCATCTTGATCAAGATGTGGGATTAGCACTTGTAAAGTTTCTATCAGTTCCTCTGTCAAAACATCAAACCTAAGAAAGTAATAAAACATTTTTATGAAATTAATTCAAAATTGTTATTGGTAATGTTATTTCTGAATGACAGCAACAAGAACCAAGAACATAGTTCAAGCTTTTCTCATTAAGATGATAGTAAATGTACTGGGTTATACTCTCCCGCCAAAATGGTACCTCTGCAGACTAATGGATGTATGTATGTATGTTAGTGAACTCTATATAGCGCATAATACCGAGGTCTCTATGTGCTGAGTGAACAGAAAGAAAAAAGGGAAAAACTAAACCGAGATCTTTTTCTCATCTTAAAGTGAGTTGAACAAAGAGAGTATTAAAAGCATAATATGGCAAAACAAATATGCAATGGTTAAATGATTAAAATGTCACTGACCTGTCTGTCTTCAAAGCTTGTGTGACTTTTAACTCTTGCCCTTCCAGGTATTCTTTGAACTTTTCAATCAGGAATTTTAATGTCATTGGCCACAATTCCCCACATTCCATAGATCTAAAAAACATATTTTTAATGTATCACAAAAACATACTTTTAAAATTCTGAAAGATATGTATTAAATTCTGAGAGATCATTCTAGGCTAACTAAACACCTAGACTTTCATCTGTCAGACAGGACAATGTCCCTGGATTCCTGGATTCAAATATTAGATGGCTTGTGTAAATCTTACTACGATGCATGTTTTTACCTCTCAAAGGCTTTTTCCATCAAGCTGTTCCACTGGTCACAGGTTAGCACAGGCCATACAGTGTTAGTAGCAACAATGAGGATAAGGCTGGATTGTTTCAAATATCCTGGCAAATCGACCTGCTCATCATCCTACAAAGACAAGTTTCGAAAGATACAATCTACTATTTTTTTGAAGTACTCAATTTGCTGACAACAATATTGCTGGGCACAGATAAAATCCAAAGTTAGCACAATATACAACACTTAATTTGCATAAATTACAATTTGCATACATGTGGAGCTATACATACCAGTTCTTCACCATTGCTAACAGCCATACCCCACTGCATTGCGTATATCACCTCTAGTAAAAAATCTTCCGTCTTTTCATACTGCCATGGTAGACTACTTTTAGGGGACTGCTCACCAGTAGCTGTCGCTTCATTCCCTTCTGCATCTGGATCTTCATTCCCTTCTGCATCAGGATTTTCTTCCTCCTCCTCAGGCTGAGGCTGAATGGTTAAAAGCGTTGCCAGGAACACTGACAGTATTATCTGGTTTGGGACAATATCCTGGAATGTCTCTGGCAATTTTATTGTGTCACTTCTAATCATCAGGGATCCTTGCATTGTCAAAACATCCTTCCACTGTTACACAAAAATAACAACATGATCATAAAATTTGGAACGTACAAGCTATAGATTGGTTATTTGAATGATGACTAAGAAATAAGATTGGTTGAAATAACTGACCAATTACACTGCTTAGATGAATAATGACTGTCCAATCATATTGTTTATACAAATAACTGACCAATTACACTGCTTAGATGAATAATGACTGTCCAATCATATTTCTAACATGAATGACTGACAAATCATATTGATAACATGAACGACAGGCCATTCATATTTTTAACATGAATGACCGACCAATCATATTGCTTACATGAATGACTGACCCAATCATATTGCTTACATGAAGAAATGACCAATCATATTGCTTATCCGAATATTAACTGACTAATTAAGTTGCTTACTTGAAGTGGGAGACCTCTCCTACAATCAATCCACTCATCCCTAGTTGGAAGTATAAGTCGGAGGAAGTCTCCTCCAGTGATCTGTTGTTCCTCGTCTTCTGGTCCTTGCTTCAGGTTTTCATTTATAACTTGGTGGATGAGACTTGCTGCATTTGCAATTGTAATGGACCTATTAACAGGGTTCAAACAAATAAATCTATCTATCCAGGTTCCAGTAACATAATAATCATCATTATCAACGCCATCAGGATTTTTTGCTCACAACTAAAACAATTCTCCTTCCTACACCACGGGTCCTCAAAATTGATCGCAATAGGGACCAAAATTGTTCATTGAATAAAGTTGAAGGGCCAGTGGAAGATGTGTACTATGGCGTGTAGTGGCATCTGAGTGCTGAATGTGAGAGCTAGGTGAGGGTTAATTAGACATTTTTTGAAAATATAAGCCACTAGATGCTCATACAGGGAACCTTGAAAAAAAAGGTGTAAAAAGGGACGGTTACGCCCCTTTTCCCCCAGTTTTTAAATATTCAAAAATCTGTATCTCTTTCACCGTTTCCCAGTTTTTCGTCAGACAACTTTTTTCTGTCTTAGAAAAATCAGTGCTCCAACATATCAAAAATTTTTTTCCCTCCGGAGTCTGACTTTAAGAAAAGCTGAAAGCTGGCGTGTTATGATGTTTTTTCCTTGCTGTTTGCTGCGATAGTTTTTCCTATTTGATTGATTAAATCGCTACCATTTGTAGGGTAATATAGTTGGAAAAACAGAATTAAAGTTACAAATCTAGGCCCAAGCCTAACACAGATATTATTTTTTGCTTGTTCTCGCATGGCCAATAAAACGCTCCAACGCACGCAGCCATTTGAGAACTGCTACCCTACACCTTATAATGAGACTATGTAGAGTACTTTTACAACACTGGATGTAAAAGATAAAGCAAAATCCTGCTACCACTAAACATCACTATTATCATCCTCTTTATCATCATTATCTTATGGCATTATCATGAACATCAACTTCAACATATTCATCAATATCATTGTTATATTCTTCATAATCATCACCATTATTATCATAATCATCACATTTTACAAGTATTACCGATCCAGTAATATTGCAGGTTGCATCAACATCATTTTAATCCACTCTGCAAGCTTATGGAGGAATGTATCTGTATGTGGAAACTCTTGTCCATTTTCAACCAGCAGTGAGATTCCATACAACCATGTTTCCTGTAACTTCTCCAGCAAATCAACTGAGAAATGTAGAAAAGAGAAGTCATTGAAAGAAGCAATATGAACAATTAAATATATGAAAAGAAGTAAATAAATTAAAGACTAATTTATGGTTAAACAATACTACACAAATAATCCCATCTAACATGGTTCTTTTATGAGATATACAACATTTACATGGGTGGCCAATCCAGCAGTAATAATTTAAAACCCTTGATATTTTAATCAAGGTTTGTTTTATTCAAGACAATTTCCCGCACTTCCTTCATTCCTTACCAGATATTTCACTAGCTTTTTGACAACTAATTTGGAACAGTGCTAGTAGTAAAACCTCTGATGCTGGTACTAGCAAACTTTTCTGAAAATACAAATTTGAAGATCATTAAAAAGAATGCACCATGTTATTAGAAATAAACTAAAGTATATTTGATAATATCAAAAAAATCAATACAAGACTTTTTGAAGGGGGTTACTACAGGAACATCACCTTTAGCAACATAAGTGCAGAGGTTCAAAGTCTCATGCAACTCATGTGAGTTACCCAGAAACCAGGATGGTCTCCCGCAGTCCTGCAAGCAGGAATCTCCTGGAAACTCATCCCTGCAAATTCATACTATTTGTCTCACAAAAGTAAGTGCCAATGGGCATTAATAGGCCTATGTGCAGCAAAATAAAATTAAAGCTCATTAACCATATGGGTGGCAGATTTGTGGGGTGGGGGGTACTCATCCCTCTAAATTTTTAAAAATTATAAAAAAAAGGAGAGAAAAAAAGAGAATTATATTTAAATTTTAAGTCTGAGAGTGCCATTTCCAGTCATCTAATCTCATGTCATAATCATAAATTCTCTTTCCTCAGCTGGTGGGGCTAAGGTGGTATAGACCCTCAATCTGTGAAAGTCCCTCCCTTGAGCCCCTCTGATTTCCTTGATCCGCCACTCTAGATCTCCTGGAATTGACTTCTTCTAGCTTGAGTCCCTGTGAGTGATCTTAAAAATGCTTAGTAATTGAGTGATTTATATTCTGGGTTTACCTTTGATGACTTGAAGAAATGCAAGACAACATCACAAATGAAGCTGAGAGATGGTGGGACAGCAATGGTATCGCTAACAGAATTCTGTACTGAATTATATTGGGCAGCAGAGGGGTTGTTGACAGTATCCTGTAAGGGCTCACATAGGACAGCAGAAGGAGCATTGATAGCATCTTGTAAGGGTTTCGACATTACAGTGAGGATCCTACCAATGTAAAGATCACCGAGTACCAGCTCTAAATGGAGAATATTAAATATATTCATGATTCTAATTAAAACATTTAATTAATATCACTTAAATCAACTACAGGAAAACACACATTCATATAAAACTTACATAAGAATATTTAGATTCTTTTACCTTGATTCTTATTGGTTGAGAGACCAAGTGATAATAATCCCCAGCTATCATTCACTTCATCTCTATTCTCTGCGACCACATTTTCCCTGCATAAGCTCGCAGCAATCGATATTAATTTTTCACCAAATTCATGATTTCTTGTCCAGCTTTGAAGTTGCACATAATTTCCACTAATAACCTAAGAGTGATGATGAAAATTAAAGAAAAATGTCCAGAAATCAGTTTGAATACTGGTTTAAATTTTGTATTTAGTTCAGTTAGTTTAGTTAGTGCACTTATTTATAGTTAGTTTATTATAATAATAATAGTAATAATAATAATAATATGTTCCGATTTATATAGCGCATAACACCAACAAGGCCTCTAAGCGCTTCACATTACTACCCCCAGTCATTGGATTAAATGCCTATGGAACACAAACTCCCCTGGGAGATTATTCCATAAAGTTGCAGCAGCTACATCATTATTATGTTAGTGAGTTACTGCATTTTAGTTAGTTTACAGTTACAGAAGTTTCTTTTTATAAAGTGCAACAGTTTACTAGTAGTTAGTGTAGTAAGTTAAAGAAGTTTGGCAATACTAATTTGGTTAGTTTTTTAGTTAGTTTAGATTTCGTCTTAATTCTCATAGTAGTTTTATTATTGTCAGTTTTCAAATTGCACCAGAAACAAACAAAAAACAAACAAACAAATGGTGAATAAGAATATGTACCTTCTTAACAGTTAAATACAATGGTAAAACACTTTCCTTCTGACAGCAAAGAGTATTTAATAATAATTTCTGTTCATCGTGGGAACAAAGCTTCATTACCGAGAACAAACAGTCAACTAAGTTTTGACAAAGTATTCGCTTATCTGCAGCTGAGAGCGACTCGTTGATCCATGGGAGTATTGCATGATCAAGAAACTGGAAAGCATAGTTCCTACTGTCATCAACCTCACAAGGAACTAACGGTAGAAGTGCTTTAAATAAACTTGTGCTGGAAAACTCGGAGAGCATTTTGGAAAAGAAAAAACAGTGCTGTGTGGAATTCTTCTCCTTGGCTAGATTATAACTTGATAAACAAAGTTTTGCTACTAAATTACTCATTTGATCATCCTCAACTTTTGCTACAAGTTCATGAGTTTCGTTCACTGGATTTGCCTCTTCAATTTTTGTTTCAAATGTTTCTTGTTTCTCTGTCAATTTATCACCAATAATTGCGTCACTTGAAAATCGACACGATGACTCAACATCTGAAAATGTAACGCGTATCTTCCTCTTTACAGATGATTGCTTCTCAACAGGTGAATGAATCTGTGATAAAACTCGAGAGATATTTTCCAGGTTCTTCAACGATGGTTCCTCTGAATTGATCTGTTGGAGGCAGATGTCAGCAAATTTTTCCCAGAATAATGTTAAAATTCGTTCACAGGAATCATTAATGTTCGCTTCTTCACTAGATTTATGCAGACGATCAATTAGACTTGATGTTTGAGCATACAAGGAAGTAAGAGCTAGTCTGGTGTTTTCTGTCATTGAGTACTCCAATAGAGGCATGAGCTACAGGAAAAAGAATAATCATAAAATACATTTTTTAAAGAAGTTCCAAAAATGGTTACAACTTGTTACTAATTGCAAAATTGTCCATGGTATAAAATTGTTCATAACATAAAAAGGAAGATACAAAAGTAAAACATTTTGCTAATTCCTAAACTGGGAGGCTATTAATTTAGTAGCAAACTACTGTTCTTAAACAAGGCCTAGTATGATGAGTATGTCTCATTATGCGGCTTTTGTGGGGGGGGGGGAGACACACCTGTTCTCAGTCAAGAAAAAAAATTTCCTAGGTTTTGAGAGGGTTTGAACCCAGGATGCCAGTATTTGAAGGCAAGCAACATACCTAGCAAACAATAGCTCCATCACAAGATGCAAATTTACAAATTTACCTGCTCATTAACTAGATAGTCCTGAATGGCAACATTATTTTCCGTGTCACCTAAGTTCTGCAACAGACAGTATCGCAGACATTCCATTAGTGCTTGGATGATGGCTGATGTTTCGCAGGAACTTCTACGCACACTTTCAAGCATCAACCTAAAAAAACAAAAGTCTTTTTTTTTAAACATTACTGCTGTTTTAAGTTTCATCATCTAATTGCAAATTTTAATTACTAGGATTAGTGTCCTATGACTGTTTTCAATGTGTATACAAAAAGATTAACATACCCAGTTTTCATGTTCCCAAAGTACTCCTGAAAGAAGCCAATGCCTTGTCCAAATGTGGCAGCAGGCAGCTGACTCAATAGGGGAAGCAAATTGGGATAGATAACTGTGGCCGAGCCTTTGCCTCCAGTCTTTAGTAACACCCACAATTTCGGCAGGACTGCCTTCCGCATATTTACATGAGACCAACATGTCTAAGAAAATTTAAAAATTATTCAAATATTTTACATGGAAATTATTAATTATTATTGTCACTAACCCATACCGATTTTACACCATAGAAATGGTAAGTATAAAAAAAATGGATAGAAAAAAGTTTGAATGTTTTACAAATACAACACGGTTTGAGGTGAAGTAGTCAATTGTACTTCCTGAGGTGTTGGATGATTGAGAATACTGTACCTTCCAACACAAACGCAATCAAATCATATAGTATTTGTTTTGCTACACCTCTATATTAAACAGTAAACCATTTGCCTACATTAGCCATTTCGAACTTAAAATTACACAGTCCTCATACGGTAATGTAAAGGGGCGCGATTAATTTTGGATAGTAATTTCCCCTATATACACATAAATTTGGCACACACAGAAACTACCGCACGACTTACCGGGTGGGATTGACCGATGAAATGTTGTTATTACCTAATTAATATTTATGGGGTATAGTAACATGGGATATCCATAGTTGTAGTACCGCATCCTTACCAGGTGGAATTGATCAATCAGATATTCTTATTACCTAATTAGTAATTAATATTCATGAGGTATAGTAACATGGGATACACTCACAAGATAGGTTGTGATAACTAGGAGGACAGCATGCCAGAGCTCAGAGACAATGGTAGGGTCCGACTCATCCAAGTTACCAAGAACATTCACACTAGTTCTCATCAAGTAAATTCCAAGAATGTCAGGTATGTGTTCACAATAAGCTCCAACAACTGTATAAAATGCACTACGAATCTACAGGTAACAGAAAATAAAAATTAGTCACTTTCCCTATTTTTATCCTAATCTATCCAATATTTAATTAGTCAATTTTTGGGGTTTTCTTTCATTTACCAATGGTTTAGGATTGCTTATTAATGGTTTGACATGCATAAGATTGATGGTTTAGACTACTTACCACTGGTTTAGGATGCTTGACAAACTTCCAGAACTTGTTGTTCATCAGAATGTTCTCGAAATTCTCATATATCTTGGCTGATTCTTCTGGAGTTAAGATTGACAGAAGTTCCTTCAATGCCAAAAGAGATGATGTTAGGTTCCTTGTGTATTTTTCATCCATTTCTTCCACTGGGGTTGATCTAGAAAACACACAAAATGAAAACATGGGATTTTCAAAAGTTATGAGTGAAAGTATTATGGCTTCTACTGTACTAAAGTATACAATACTGCCTCTTTCTTATGCTTTTTACTCAGTAATAGCAACAGTATGCTGGTTTAAAATCGGCAAGCCTAATATAAATGATAATGTTGATGATGTAGTGGTTAGTTGCTGCTATACATTTTCAAAGAAAATTTGATAATCTACAGAGAGCTTTAGGCAGCCTTTAAACTCACTTGGAATCACTGAGTGTAGTTGGTGTCTGGTTGAACAGGTTATCTTGGAGATGCTGCAGAAAATGAAAAAAGAAAACAAATTACAAGTACCCAGAAATACAATTCTAAATCCATCAAATGATGGTAAATAAATGCAAAAAAAAAAAAAAAAAAAAAAAAAAAAACATGAATTTTTTTTTTCAATTCAAAATTTTTTTTTGTCAATTCAATTTTAATTGTTTTCATTTAAAGATGTATTTTCCCATGGTAAATATAAAAAAAATCCTAAAAATATTTTTTGAAATTAACTTGCCCATTTTGAAGTAACATAAAAGTTATCAACTTGAACATAGAAATTAGTGTTTTTTGGAAAACACTAAAAAAAAAATGAAAAATGATAGAAACACTTCCAGTAACTGGAAGTGTTTTATTATTTTTATTATAATTTGTTGGTTTAAAAATCAGGGTACACATTTTTTAAATTCAATAATTTCTATGAACAAGTTAATAATTTGTATGTTATTGCAATATGAGCAAGTTTCTTTCGAACTTATTTTTTATGATTTTTTGACATTAGCAAGAGACAATAATCTTTAAAAAAACACAAATAAAAGGTCCAAAACAAAGCCTATAATTTTGACAAATATAGGAAATTTCTAAAATCATCAATTTAGTACAAAAATACTGTATTAAAAGACATATTAAAATATATTTTTCCCATACATTACAGATTTTGGTGATATCGAACTCCAGTTAAATTAAATTGAAGACAGTTGTGAATGTGATTTATAATATATGTTTAATAAATATTTCCTTTTCATAAAAAAAATAAGAACGTTGTAGTTTAATTATACCTCCATAACTTCTGTTTTACAGTAGGCCATGGCTTCTTTCTGTTTTGCTGGTGAAAAAGCTTTCTGAAAAGCTGATCTAGCTGCTGATGATGCTGGTGCATATGTGTCGCATTGCGATACAATCCAAGTACCCATCAAGGGGCGTAGGTGGGGTGCAAGTTTACGACCCACTTTCAGACAAATCTGCTCAAAGGCATACTGAGTAGCTTCACGCACTCTCCTATCAAAATCCTGTTCACCAAAAATACCAACAAGAACAAATCTAGATAATTCATTGATCAACTTTTTTTGTTAAGTATTATTTAAGAATAATCGGAAATGGGAATATGCCACACAAACCATCATTGAGATGCCCTCTGTAGAGCAGTTAAATAGAGCTTTCAGAGACAAATGACATCATCAGGGGCAGATAAGATGCTGAAAAGTCATTGATGAGGATATTTATAGGTATAGTAGATTATAAAATTCAACATTGTATTCTTAAAAAAAAAAACCTACAAAGTTAAACTACATACAATACCTTGAGGGAAATGCATAACAAACTTCACCTTTATACAATGATATTTGTTACAGGGTGAAAGGTCAGTGAATATCTTACCAGTGCAAGTTTGCCATATAATCTAGGCCAATGGGCTAGGATACAACTAACTGATTCTTCATCCTTCTCCTTGCATAGAGATGCAAGTTCCTGCATGGCCTATTTGAGAGAAGAGCAGAACAAGTTTGGAAATATATTTACATACCTGCTTAACAATAAAAAATATGAGAATTAGTATTAATACTGTACCAAACCAAAAATGTTCAATAAATATATCAATCTCTTACCTCTGACTGTCAATCATTTTTTCCCCCAATAATCAATCAATCGATCATCTCATAAACAATAATAACTGATAATGATTACTTGGAATAACTGTCAAAGGAGGCATAATAACTTGAGGTATTTTTTGCTAATACTGTACCTTTAGTTTAGTAATGGCATCTCGTTTGGTTAGTTTTCGTAGGACAAGTCTGATGTCTGAGTCTAGGCATGAATCAAAATCATCAGCACCTGCAGCTGTGGGGACATAGCCCAGATCACCTGACATACTACCAAACCCAATGAAACCCATCCCTTGACTGGACCGTTCTAATAACTCTGCTGCTCGGCCACTACTAGATGGCTGAAAGGAGTTTTAAAAAAAAAACTATAATTACAGCATATGAATAGTTTTCAGGACAAAAGCAAATCCTGGTTAAATTAACAGGTACTTGAATTAATTAACTTGAGTATGATCGGCATATTTAGCCAGCAACTGAATCTATCAAAGTATACAATATATTGCCTGTTCTATTTTACCAGATAGGTACTATATTAAATACATTAACTTAACTTACACGTGTGTTGCCTTTTGTACGTTGCTTTTGTTTTCCTCCCATGTTTGTCTCTTCCTTTTCTACTGGCACCAAATTTAATTTCTTACTGCATATTCTTCTGGAAAGTCTTCTTTTTATCAGAGCTGAAATTGGGAGAATCACTAAAATTTAGAAACATTATCCATCATGCTTCTTTATTAACACTGATTACTTAGATCTATGGCAATGTATATTGAGTCATGAAATTAGTTTAATTACTTGTTATTTTTCAAGCATTAGTACATTTGCCTAAAAAGTGGATATGTTAATGAAAATTGTAATAATTCGAGCCCATTTACAAGATAAGAACACTACAGTGTACAGTAACTGGTGCAAATTCTTGCAAGTCAGATGCTTGAACTCTTGTCTTTTCCATTCCCAATGCAATGCAGATTCTCATAGCAGGTCCTCTATACAGGTCTCTTATACACATCTAGATGTGTATAAGAGACAGCCTCTATATTAAACAGTAAACCATTTGCCTACATTAGCCATTTCGAACTTAAAATTCAAAGCAAAACAATTACGCTCAAGCAGGTTAAAATCACCTTATTTTCTCCTAGTTCCACCTCACATCAACTTTCCCTCCCACCCACCACATTTCACCTTCGTGCCTCCTATCAGCTCCCTTTCAAAGTTCCTAGATACACTAAACAGACAGGCCAAGACAAATTGTTAGATCAAACAAGGAAAATTATTTTTAAAATGGTTGAAAATTTCCCAGATTTTCTAGACACCATTGGGCTTACCCCCTGGACCCCGACCAGCTGGCCTCCAAAGAAAAATTCTTGACCCTCTGGCACTGTGTCAGACAGCTTATCCACCCTGAATGTATATTCAAGTGCCAGCACTCCCTCTACTCTCTTCAATTCACATACCTACCTCTCTATCCAAATGACTCAATTAATATAGCAAAATAATAATATTCAACATATTTTGTATCTGATGTGTCGTATTTGCCTTTGTTTTGTGCTGTTTTATTAGTTTTTGTTTGTTCGTTGTGTAAATATGAGATTTTTTGTATTAATTGATGTTAATATTTGACAGCAGTTTTCATTTCTTTTCTTTAAATAGTAATACCAGGGAGTTGTTATCTAAATAACAACTCCCTGGTAATACTACTACAGCAATCCGCCGTAATCCCTCTATAAAGATACAGACACCACATAAATTAGTGGATCGGAAAAAGCTAGAGTCTAGGCCTAGCTGGTCTAGGCCTATTCATTAATGGTAACCTACACCGGTTCAGAAGCGTCGCACACGCATACCTCTTTCCTTAGGTTAGTTACTGGGCCTAACGGTAACCTATATAGCCTGAATGAGGTACCGTAAGTCTATTCTAGCTAGCCTAAACGGCCCAGGTAAAACCAGGTCCGTCATAATAATGTGATGCTCTAAAGGTACCTACATACAACACATTCAGACTTACATTTACATTTAAGATTGATTAAATTGCAGTAGGCCTATCCGGCTTTTTGGTCATCAATCGTGGATCACACACCACACACATTTTCACTCATATTTCGAACGCCACACACCAAGTGAACTTGCGTCGCGTGCGTCAACTTGCGTCAACTAATGTCAACTTAATGCCGCATGCTTAGATAAGATCGGGCGGGTGTGGGTGCCACTTTGGAGTGGATTCACATGTTATCAGCCTAAGCGAATCCAATCAATCATTCAACCAACTAATCAATCAATCAATCAATCAATCAATCAATTAATCAATTTATTAGATCCACATTAATTTGATGCAATGGGACTCACACACACACAAAATGCATGACGTTTACGAAGTTTATTCACTTGTTGGTCTCGCTACTTGGTTTTCCCCATAATAGTTAATACAGCACTGTTGAATTGTATATTTGAACCAAGTTAAATAAATTAAAATTGAAGTTGAAGTTGACAGTTCAAATTGAATTTTTACACTTAATTGCAATATTTTTACCCCTCTTTTTGTTCGGTATTGCCGTTTTTTATCCTGCTGATTTTTTACTTCTGTGTTTTGTTTTCGCTTGTTAATGTAAGGACCCTAACGGAATCAAGGTTTCTTTTTTACCTTTCTTAGGTCATCCTTAGTACCATGTTCTTGTCTTCCCTGTCTTTAGGCTTTGTTTGCTTTGTATTTTGTGTATGTAATGGTAATGAATAAAATCAATCAATTCATAAAGTTATAAACATACAAAAATAAAGTAGGCCTACATACAGTATAAACTTTAAGTTATAAACTTAAACTACTTTAAATAATCAGTATATATCTGTGGAATACATACTTTAGGAAGACAAGAAAACATAAACAGATATTATTCTCCTGAAGACGATTGAAGCAACTCAAAAACGTCGATATTTTCTCAACTACAACAGTTCTTTTCAGAACTACCTACGTGGTGTATCGCAAGCTTCAACAATGTTATTATTTCGCTATGCAAACCTTCAAACAATATAAATATGCCTTTTATAATTTTTTCTGTTTTTAAAATTCTTTTAGTTATGTGTATTCATTTATAATTATTGGAATGTACATTATATTAAATCTTCAATTATCTTGTTTCTTTAATTTAACACATATATATTTAATTTATATTTAACTTCGATATTTATTGTTTTTTTTAATTAAGTTTTACATTTTTTCTGTTTATTAGGCTTATTTTAATTCCATTTAACGTCTTTTAATTATTTACTTTGTTTTTGTAATTGTACTCTATTGTTTTTGCTTTGTATGTATTTGAGGGTCCCAAATGATCAGCCCCGGCTGGATGGACCACCCTCACAAAATATTGTTAATAATAAGAATAGGCCTAATAATAATAATATAAAAGAACTGGTGAGAATCAAACCCAGATTAGAAAATGTTTGTCGCCCCCTTCAGAATTAAGTAGAGAAATACAATTAGGCATACCGTAAATGCTCGAATAAGCGCCGCTCTCGAATAAATGCCTCTCTCGAATAAGCGCCGCACCAAACGCACAGTAACCAAACGTGATTTTTTTTTTCGTTAAGCGCCGCTCTCGAATAAGCTTAATCGAGAATATAATTATATTTCTGTGTGTAGAAACACTTTGAGAAACAGGGTTTTAAATACAATGGCATAGTGTAAAAATGAATACATAATACAATGAAGACACAAGCATTTCTTTATAAACGTTTATTTATGATGATAGGACCTATGATAGACTGCGGGAATACGTGAAAGCGCCACGCCAATATTTTTTTATAAGCGCCGCTCTCGTATAAGCGCCGCACTGAAGCCTCCAAAAATGTTATAAGCGCCGCGGCGCTTATTCAAGCATTTACTAGGCCGGGTATGCCTAGACGTTGAAGGGACGTTGATCTATCAACCAAAACCAAAATAGGCTTAATTGGGATTTCATTATCTTTCAATTAAATAATTAAGACAAACCTATTTACTCTCCAATTCATTCTTAATTCAATAACAGATATAAAGTCTGTAAATCTGGTTAAGAAATGAATCTGTTTTTATGATTTGGAAGGCTGTAAGGCTTGGTTAACACATGGAGTTCTAATTAGTGTCTTTTCATTGCAATCGTTACATCGCTTAGTACGGTAGCTTTCCGACGTAATCGGGAATGCGCCTCGGTTTGACTAACCAATCAGCATCGCCAAAAACTGCCGGCGATAGCGTGTAGCGAGTTTATGGAAACCAGACTTAAAAAATTTGATGCTTTTAAATTAATCAAAACCTCTATTTTTAAATCATGTACGGTAGTAACATTACAATTATATATTTTTAGACAATTAGCACTTACCGGTAGGCGTTTCTGTAGTTGGACCTTTGTTTTTAAAGAAATACTCTGAATTGAGCTGTATGGAAGAAAAACTTAGGCCTATTTCTCATCACTCCAATGTACAATTTGGGTGGGCCACAAACTATAAGAAAACTTACTTCTCAATAACCTACACATCATTCCAATGTATAACTTCGAAATCACATCTGATAACACCGAAATCACATCTGTACATATTATAAAGACAAAGTTATTTAGCTTTCAGTTCCAAAGACAAGCAAATCTTACCAATTAACGGACTCATAAATACCATTCCTGTGGGCTTTTAATAATTTTGAAGATTTTACTTCTCTTCATTTGATCTAATTTTTCAATATCGGGCGACCTGAATTCTTTAATTGTCTCTCGGATCGCACAAATCCGCTCGAAATGTCATACGCTCGAACTAGCTGTTACCATGCTGTTGCGCTCGACGTAATTCGCTCGAACTGGAACCAAACCAACAGCTCGGATCCCGCCGAATGTTCTGAGTGAGTGCTTACAGTTCAAAGGTTGATGCTTTCGCGGTAGTGGTGCGTAACGTTTCGGAGGCTACTGGTCTAAACAAATCTTAATGTTAGGAAAGACACATGAATTCGCACTTGTAGCTCTTCGATCAAGACACAATTCTAAGGAATAGTTACTGTAGATTATCGACGTGTGTATTTAGGTAATTTTCAAAATGGTGAGTGACAAAGATAAGCGGCGTTCATCATCATCATCAAACAGAAAATCAAAATCAGACGAACCACCGAGCCACCCAAGGATATGTTCTATTGTGAGAGGACCGGCGGGCTACGGCTTTAATCTCCACGGTGAAAAGGGTCAACATGGCCAATACATCAGAGCTGTAGATCAAGGTAATGACCCTGTTCAGGCCTAGGCCTAGCTTTAATATAAATATTTGTTTATTTATGTCTAGGCTTACATCGTTCGTATTTCATTTCGTTGTTTGGTTCGTGACACTTCTCTAAATAAATGTACATTCTGTGACACTCTGACTATCTTGTTACTAGGCTAGGCCTAATTACTAGGCCTATTACTCTAGGCTAGACATCCTGACTGAGGCTCTGCAGTAATAAATTAAATAAAATTGTTGTTGTTGTTGTATAAGATATCATTTATTACTAGGAACATGTCAAAAGAATGATGAGCTAAAAAGAGCTCAACATCAAAATGGTCATCTTCTGGTCAGATACCAGTTTATAATAGCTAAAACTTTGAAAAATAAAAATAATAAAAGATAGGCCTATGTAAAATAACAATAATAATATATATTGGAAAAATGTTGCATCATATTCTCCAAACTTGTAACTGGCCAGTAAAAACCAGGGTGGTTTCTATTGTTTGGCCTCATCCCATTTTAGAGTTAACCCCCTCTGATTTTTTCCATATTTAAATGTTCATGACATATAATTTCTTCATGTAAATTTTCATTGAAAAAATCTGTAATTGGAAATTAATAGTCATTCACCATCCATGAAAGTGCAGACATTTAAAAACCCTTTTCTATTCAAAGTTTACTTTTTTGATAGACTGTGCAGACATTAACAGTGCTGTTAGTGCCAAACCAACTGCATTTATTACCGTAAAACCTCGAATTGAAGCCCAGTGGGCTTAATCTCGAGATGAAGCCCATCTCGAATTAATGCCCCCTCTTTAGTTTGCAAAATTAGCCTCGAAAAGAAGCCCATCTCGAAAAGATGCCCATGGGCTTCTTTTCAAGATAGCATACAGGCTTCTTTTCGAAATAGTACACACTGTCCATTCATTTCAGAAAACAAAATAAATTAAATACAAGCTTGGTTATAAAGTAGTTTAGTTTATTTAATGCCAGTTAAATATACTCCATGATACAGATTGATGTTACAGTGACCTTATTTGTTGTTTTATAATACAAATTCACAAAATTTACAGCATTCATTTTGAAAAGAAGCCCCCCTTTTTACCTTGCAAAAGTAGTCTTGAAAAGAAGCCCATCTCGAAAAGAAACCCATTTAAAAAAAAAAGCCCATCAGAAGTTAGCAAAAAAAAGAAGGCCATGGCTTCAATTCGAGGTTGGTTTTACGGTATTAGGTGAGGGTTCAAGGTAAAAGAATTAACAATACAAAGTTCTAATTAGTAATTTGTAGGAATCAAACATAGCCTTAGTACTATATTTTACAATTGAATTCCTATAGCATTAGTTCACTACCTCCATCAATAAAATGTTTTAACATTTTATTAAAAAAAATTAAAATTGTTTTATACTGTATCACACAATAGGCCAGGCTACATTACTGTATATAGAACAAACATTTCTCAAGTTAACACCCAAGATTATACTCTGTATCAGTGATTATGCCCTATAAATTTACCAAGAGGGATTGAACAGTGTGGTCCAAATCAGGGTCCATGGGTGTATACTTGTTCTCATTACATAACCTAAAATCACCCAGTTAAATAACACTTAGGATTTTGCTGTGGACAATACTATTGTGATACTATTGGCCTATACTCTGATAGGATATTAAGTCATTCAATATTCATGTTATCAGCGTCTAGAATGTGTGTTCACAAAATACACAAGGAATAGGTGTGGCCTGTTGATTAGCATGGAGGCATATGTATCTGATAGTAGTGACTTCATTCAAATACGATTTCTCCATTCTAGATTAGGGTTGTATTGGATAAATTCATAACTAAATATAGATGTAATCTTATACTGTATGTAGGTTGCCTGATGGTTACAAAAATAAATGATTTTGTAACATAAGAAGGAAAAGATGTGAAGTAGTCTCTTGATGATGTCCTGTGTGGACGAAAGCTTGAGATTAAATTTACCATGTTAGTCTTAAAAGTGCTGCTGTCATTTCTTTTATATAAAAAGGGAAAAAAATGTAAATTATATCTCATATAAATCAATCAAATTACTTTTAGTACTAATAGTTGTACTGTTCCTGTTGTAACAGAGTTTGAGGATTTTGTTACTACATTGGAATGTAATGATCAAATAAGAGATATGGAATTTAAGGTAATTTCAACATTGCCATTGTATGATGGTATTCATACTTGGGCTACAATATTTATTTATGATTTATCAAAGAGTAGTAGTACCATAGCAGATTTGATGAATAGTTTGAGGTTATACAACACACACTGCACTAATAATAATTCATTTTTTACATGAAATGCAGAGCACTTGGTTACGAACAAACTGAGGATTTCATTGGATTTTATACTTTTCTAGTAATGGAAAGTTTATTACTGGATGAACTTTGTGATGATTTGTAAAATTAGGATACTGATCAGTTGTCAAGAGCTTGTTGATTAGAAGATTGATGTGTGCAAATCTGGTTACTCCACAGGGAGTATTTAGTAATTACCTATTAATGCCTCCAAACAAGCATACAGTAAAAACATGAGCTACCAGGCTCAATGTAGTTGCAAAATTATTAGTTTGGATACAACACTGCTATTTTATAATGTTTATTCTCCAACATAATGTAGATGCAGTCTTCACCTCTATGCTTTCCGTTTTGAAAGATGGCTGGTTTATGGTTAATAATTCTCATGAGATTATACTGTATATGTTGCCATAAATCTTCCCTTTGATCCTGCTGACATTTGGTCTATGTAGGCCTGCTCTAGCGCAGTATGTTGAATTTCAGTTGCTAGGTTACCATGTATCACTCATTTGCATATCTAGTTCATATACCTGTTGGAATGCTGTTGTATAAGATCTTTGTTTTGATTTGCATAATTAATTGTTAATGATAGAAAGAAGATGGTAAAATATGATATCTAACAAACTATACTGGTCAGGTGAATCATTGCAAACATTCCTTTATATGGAGGAGGAATAAGTACTGTAATTATTTCCTGTTGCGAATACATGTAAAATTCATAGGATATTTGGTGGGACAAACTTTATGAAGGAATGTAACAAATTGCAAATAAACAAATATTGTAGCCAAATGCTGGTGAGTTAAATGCGTCACCAGCCTTTTCACCAAAAGGTTATACTGTCTGCGAGAATACTTGTAAGTGGTACCCATATCTTGAGTCGCATACAACCTTATTAGTGAGCTTTCGATTTGCATGACAACGTAACCCTACCAGCATTCAATTTACCCAGTATCGCATCGCAAAATACGACGTGTTTTACACTAATTGCTAAGCATTCCACAATGCATCACAAAAAAATGCAACATAATTATTTGTCTAGAATTAACCACTCAGTCTTCAGCAAGGCCTGGCTGTAAAACTAAGAGGCTTAATGCACAAAAAACGTTTTTAAAAAAACAGTGAAAGTCAAGTTGTTATCCAATGCTTTGGGACAAGAATAGCGCAATATGCTTGTTTTTTACATCGAGTACGCACATACAATGCTCCCTACATGTACACGAAACATTGTTTTACGTAAATACTTTTAGTGTTGGAAAATAAAGACGCATCACTGTAATATTCTTATTGAAAAGTGTCATTTCTTTTCTTTAATAATCATTCATTATCACCGCAGAAAAAAATACTATGCACAATTTTGGAATTGCTACACAACACAAAAAGTGCTGCAGTTTTTGCTAAACACAAATAATGCTGGAAATCAAACGCTGAACCCTACTGTAGAACAGATTCACTCATCCATCTCAGCACAACGTAGATCTTGGCCGAACTGCTTTCTAGAATCCAGGCAACAATGCAAAAGGCTAATACTTCTTAGTGACGTCGCCGTGCAATAGCAAGCTCCCTATTACAGTATGTGACTGCCACCAATGCAGGGTGGCGTTAGAGTTGTTGTTGTTAGGTTTAAGGAGTGAACATCAAAAATGCCAGTACCGCTAATATGTCAGTCTTTATTGGTTTGAAAAAGAAAATCAGAAAAATTGTCTAATTATAGATTTCATAAAGCTTTATCCATCCAGATTATTAAATTTTCTTTGACAAAACACTGTTGTATGTCCATATATAGTCATGTAATTGATTCCCAAATTGTAGAGCAATTAAAAATTTGTTAAGTCGCCCATTGAGATATAGCCGATATGTACCCAAGCAGATGTTGATCAAGTCAAGATGGACACAGAAGCTTTAAGTCACAAAATCCAGATAGATATGATGTGCCTATGTATGTCGCATGTTTTTGTCATAAAAATTTGATAGTCTGGACGTGGCTTTAGATTGTGAACACCTCATTTAAGGCCAAATAAAAAAAGATGTACTAGTTTCTCGTCTCCTCACTCAGCCATTTTCTCCACAAAGGCACACTTTTTTTCGTGTATTATATCATTATGTCAATTTTTTTTTGTGTAAGAATAATCTACTCCCCATTACTACATCTACATTTTTTTCATTATTTTAACATTCTTATTTCATTGCCTTAAAAGCTTTTTACTGTGAATGAGGTCAGGTGTCACATGATAGCCTGCTACCAGTAAATTCAACATCAACTTTATTGCTTCTTCCAAGAATGACTTAATACATGATTATTAGCAGCAACATTGTATGCCTGGCCTTTGTACACTTGTAATGGATAAATGATATGAATAGTTTATGTGATTGAACCATTGACATTTCTGGTTGTCTTGAATGAAATTAATTGTCACAATAAGAATGATGTGTTCGCACAATTTTTTATAACTTTTTTGATTGACTGTTTTTGCCCCTTTTTAACTTTGATAAAACATAGACATATTTATTTCATGTAATTTACCTTAAATCAGTGGAGAAACTTTACTGTATACAATAATTTAGTTTGCTTTTTGTTTATCCCGTCTTTGGGTCAAACTATTTCTATGTACCTGATCACTTTTGGTTGAAATCCAGTATGAACAGCCCTGGTAACATTTCTGTGGTCGAATTACCCAAGCCATGTGATCAGTTT